AAACACATGTCTATTTACTGAGAAGCAGCATGGTCTAGTATATAGGAGGGAAGTCTTGGAGGCATTACCCATTTGCCTTGCCTCTAACTGCTGTGTGGCCACGAGTCAATCACTTAACCTTTCACTGCCCCAGGCAACTCTATTAACACTATAAATTACAGGAGCTGCCAATCTACACTGGTGAAAAAAAAATGCTTCTGACTGGGAATTGCTCGTATTAGTAAAATCACTGATTGAAAATGCCCCACTCACCCCAAAAAAAGTGTTCACACATAATCCGTGCACATGTTATACATGGATATTTATATCCTAGAAGCACTGGAGCCAATACATACATGACCAATTATTACACATGGCAGCTTTTAGCAGGGTGTAACTTCAGCTGTCTCTAAAATTTATTTTGACACTTCAATGTATGTATGTGAAACAAATGTATGTATATAAAGCAAATAAATTTAATCCTTCAGGGCTGACTTATAGGAAGACAATGCCCAGGATCACTAGCTTAACCTAAATAACCAACTAAGGATTAAAACAATACATGAAATGCCTACCAGGAATATTAGTCAGACCATGTTAACATTCTTCATGCTGACATAATTATATTACTACTGTTAAGGAGAATGATAATTATCATTACTATGCTTGACATCAATATAACAATTTAGCATTTGAGAAACACTGTTTGTATTTCATTGGAATCTCACAACAACCCAGAATTGTGGACACTGGAGGAACTGCCATCCCCATGCTACATGTGAAGATGCTGAGGCTTAGAGATAGCACTTGACTTGCTGATGGTCCCACAGTTAGCAGGCTATAAACCCAAGTCGGTCTGTCTGTCTTTCTGTCTCTCTGTCTCTATGTGTGTGTGTGTGTGTGTCTGTGTGTCTGTGTTTCCCTCTCTCTCTCTGTCTGTGTCTGTCTCTCTCGCTCTCTTTCTATCTCTCTCTCCTGACTCCAAACACAGCTTTCATTCTATCATTCTCCAAGGCAGTATGGCTAAGGTCGACATTATCCACCTCAGTGGAGAACTGACGACTTCCCAAATATATGTTGGACATCAGTCAATGGGTGAGCTCAGCTGAAGTCAAGGCTCGGCCTCAAGCCATAATACAGGCAACATGTGTCCAGCATGAACTAAAAATCCCTGTGTACCTCCACTGAAATGTTTGGCATTTCAGCCCATGGATTTCTGACTCATCCGATGTAAACTATCTTAAAATCTTAGCAACACAATGAAAATCAGCATCAGCTACGGAGTCCAAAGCTCCCAGAGGCAGGCTAAAGGGACTCTCCTCTCCATCATAGCACCCAAGGAGTTCAATTAAATGAATGCAACTAGGAAACACACTGCGAGGACCACCCTGCCCTCAGAAGGTAATGCTGATGAACAGGGAAGAGGACAAAATGCAAGCAGGAAATAGGGACACCAAAGGTCTGGAAAAACCATTTCTGAATGATTGAGAACATGCCGTACTTCTTTGCTTAGAAGGTCCAAGGATGTAAAAGCCCTCTAAAACACAGCAGACAACACGACTTTGGGGTCTTCTAATATTTTTCCACCATTTTTATCTAATCCATAGTGGATGCCAGTTGGTTCCCTGGATGGGTCTTTGCCCTTGTTGGCCTATCCAATCATACTTCTACTTTTTCCCTCTTCTCCTTCCCTTCCCCTCCTCTCAGTCTCCTGCAGCACGATCTAAGCCAACAAACAGAAATGAAATGGGCTGTAGGACTAATGAGAAGAAACACAAAGGTTGGTCAATTTCCAAAAAGATGTACATAAAATTCTCCTTTGCCTAAAACACTAGAATTTTCCTATAATTAGTCAGATGGCCTTCGCTTTTCTCTTATCCATTTTTCTCTGCCCCTTATTCAGGCCACTCCTCTGCCTCCGTCTTCTCAGTAACACCCCATTGACGATAAGGGATTTTTTAAGAAAACTTAAAAAGGTGAAACGGATCAGAAAATGAAGCTACGACCCTCTTCTCTCATTCAGCTAAGAAAAAGTTGTGGCCAATATTTTCCAGAAGGAAGATTAGTTACTGGAATATCTGGAATTGGTAATAAAAATTCCATAACCTCCAGGGGCTCCTGGGAGACAAATCAAAATTTAAGGAGGAAGAAATATTCCATCTCCTAGGAGAATCCCAATTTAGAGGAACTCATTTTAATTAGAGACGGTACAAAAAAGGCCCAGACTGGCAGTTAGGAACCCTGGCTTCCGGTCTTTGATGCCACCACTAATTAGTTGTATAACCTTAGGACAGTCATTTTCCTCCTCAATTTCCCCATTTGCCATTGTATCTTCAACACATAGCCCTTTGCCTTGTCCACAGTAGACACTTAATGACCTTGTGTTGATTTCATACACATTTTATATTTACTTACATGTGCACATGTTCTTTTCCCCCTATAGAATGTAAGCTCCATGAGGACAAGGATGATAGTTCCTTTTTTCTTTGTATTCCTGGCATAGTGCCTAGTATATCACTGGCACTTCATAAATATCCAATGATTGATTAAGTGTTTGTTAAGTGAAATTTCTAAAACAATAGGTTTAGGCTAGAGGGTCCCCTTTAAGGTCCCCTCTAGTTCCAACAATCTATGAACCTTTCAGCACAGAGAAGACATCTCTTACATTCTACATCCATCACTCTCTGAGACCAAGCCTCTTGCCACCTCCCCTCAACCTTGTGAGGCATCCATTCCAGATCTCCCTTTTGCCATGGATGAGTTGCTGGGACATCACCATGCAGCTAGTTCTTCCCAGCCATATCTGCTACCCCACCAGGTCACACTGCAACCTTCCATGGACATGGATGAGCCAAGTAAAGGCAAAGACACAAATTTCCTTTGGCTTTTCCCATAAAATGGGACTGGCTCAATCTCCAATATATTCAACAATCACTTATTAAGTGCCTACTATGTACCAGATGCAAAGTTGAGCACTGGGGATAGAAAGACAAAATTCAACAGTCTTTGCTTCTCAAGGAGATTACATTCTACTGGGGTAAGGGGAAGCAAGCACAACAGGCAAATATATACTAGATCCAAAGTCATTTCTGAGGGGAGTGCAGGGATACCAGCAGTCAGTTTGTTTTATAAAGCTGAGGATTCTTTACTTTTTTGATTAATATTTTACACTGGACTAGTTCTTAAAAATCAGGTTAACATCAATAATTCTAGGCTGGATAACATCCTGCTGTCCGAATGAAGTAACACTCTTTTCAGTTTCATATGGAAAGCGGAAGGCTGGATGTAAGTTTACCAAATGAATTGGTAAAAGCAGATTTGGCTGTGATCAAAGGGATCAAGGTCAAGGACCCTTTGACTGCAAGTTGCTAATACTGACCCCTAGCTCCTAAATTCAGCCTTAATATGAAATGTCCAGTAAGAAAAAAAGTTGTATACAGGTTATGAGGAAATGGAGGAGAAAGACTGTCCTAGAATTAGAAGATAATGGACTTGGGGTCATCTAGAACAGAAATGGATCCCTGAAGGCTTCATATTGACTTAGGAAAGCACAAATTAACACCATCTATGTGGTAATATATTTTTTAGGGCAACTAGGTGGCACCATACTGCATAGAACATGGGCATAGAGTCAGGAAGACTCATTTTCCTGAGTTCAAATCTGGCCTCAGACACTTATTAGCTGTGTGATCCTGGGGAAGTCACTTAATCCTGCTTGCCTCAGTTTCCTCCTCTATAAAATGAACTGGAGAAGGAAATGGTAAACTACTCCAGTATCTTTGCCAAGAAAACCCCAAATAGGGTCACAAAGAGGCAGACATGACTGAAATAACTGAACAACAAAAGGTATTTTGATTTATTTTGTTAAACATTTCCCAAATACATTTCAATCTGGTTCAAGCCTCACCTCTAATCTAGACCAACTCTCTCATTTTATAAAGGTAGAAACTGAGTGCTAGAAAAGTGAAGTGACTTGTCCAGAGTCATACCGGATCACAGATCTAGAGTTGGACTTAACCTTAAAGGTACCCAAGTCCTGCCTCCTCATTTGAAAGCGATTTTCCCCCCAATGTCAACAGAAGAGGCAAAAGTATCAACTCATCTACCCCAACACTAGGGCTTCAGGAAAGGTACTTTACATTCCTAATTTACATGTGTAATTGAGAAGCTCCATCACCCAAAATAGTCTCAAAATATCCAATTAATAGGAACCACCACCAAGTGTTGTTTTTGGCCCTAAAAGAGGAATTAAGTAGTAATTAAGTCAGTAGGGAAGGAATAAGGCAAAATGTCCTCAAGACACAGCTAAAATTTTCCCTTTTTTTCTTTCTTTTTTTTCTTTTATCAGTCTTCTTGCACAAAGTGACTAATGTGGAAATGTTTTACACAAGTGCACATGTATAATCTATATCTGCTTACCATCGCAGGGAGGGGGGAGGGGAGGGAGAAAGGGAAGGAGAGAATGTGGAACTCAAAACTCTAAATAAAAATGTTAAAAAAAAAAAAACGACTCAACTAAAGAATTTTGAGTTTGATGGTTTAATCTGCCATGTCGGTGAAAGTCCCCTCAATGGCCTAGTGCAGGGGTGGGGAACTCAAGTGGCCGAAGCTTCCCCACCCCTGGCCCAATGCCTCTCTCCCTATGACCCAAGTGGTAGGGGTGGAGAGAGGATTCACCCACACTGTCTTTGTCCCCTCCCATCAAGCCAACAGGGGCAAGGAGCAGGCTTACTTAAGGGACTGACCCAACAGACCAGGGCAGTCCAGAGCTGAGCTAGGCTAGGGGATCTCTCTCCCTCTAATGACGCTGATTACCTAGTTATTGTGGCCTCTGCCCTAGCTGGCTCCTCTCAGAACATCCTTCTTACATTATAACAGAAGTCAATTCTGAACACAGGGTGAGGATCAGAAATAGAGAAATTCATTTCATAGAGGTTCGTTCAGAATGTCTCTTCCAGGAAAAAGTGACTGGCTGCATGCTAGCCCCCCTCTGCCAAAATGACAGAGAAACATTGTCTTACCTTTTGGAAAAAGTCTTCTCCACTCTTGCCTTTTCCTTCAGCAGCAGCTGTAAACACAAAGGAATAAATACATTTTAAATAATTTCTTTTTTTCCTGGGGTGATATTTTCTGGACTTTCAGAGGTCAGTAAGGGAGGGTGAGAGCATCTTATTTCTTACTCCGCCATCTTGGCTCCCAGAAGCAGAACCAATAATTTCTTTTTTTAAATCGACCTATTAATGTTTGTCCCCTACAAAGGCAGCTAAGGAATGTAATGGATAGAATTCTGGACATGGAGCCAAGGAGACCCGAGTTCAAATCCTGCCTCTCACACTGAACTGTATGACTCTGGAAGACATTAACCAGTCTGATACTCAATTTCCTCATCTGCAACATAATGCTTATAGCCCCTACCTCACAGGATTGTTGTGAGAATCAAATAAGGTTTGCAAATATGCAAGGTGCTTTACAAACTTCAGAATGTTACCTAAATGTATTTATTACTATTATTATTATTAATTACAATTCATTGACTTCCATTTGGGGTCCATCTTACAATATTTTATTTCTGTCTTTACCAAGGGTCTCACAAATCTGTTTATATACAGGGATGAGACTGACCTCAAAAACAAGTATAAATATCAAAACAATCAACTATAACTATTAAAGCAGATAATTATGGACAACAATAAAACACCCTTATTAGCCAGCACAAGCTCTGGACCTGTGCCAAGGACACCATCATCTCCTCCAACAGCTGCAGCTCCTAACCATCTGGACCTAAGCCCTCAGCCAGAGCCAGAGCAGGCTCTGCTCAGGACTCTCCAGAATTCACCCTGACTCCTCACTGCCTTCTTACCCTGGAACTTCCAATTCTCTTCCCTCCCCTCCCCTGCTCCCCCTCCCTTTCTGCCCCCTTCCCTTGCCTTTTCAGTTCAGAACATCCCTTCTCCCATTAGTGCACTCGCCCCAAACCTCCCTTTGGAGGAAAGACCCCATTGCTGGTCACCCTTCATTCCTCTCCTCTCCTAACTCTGCTTCTGTCTCCCTGGCTTCACCTTCATCAACTTCCTTTTGGGTGTTGTCTTCTCTCTCTCCCCCATTATAGTGTAAGCTCCTTGAGGGCAGGGACTGTATTTTTGCTCCTATTTGCATCCCCAAGACTTAGCATGATGCCTAACATATAGTAATTACTTACTAAATGCTTACTGACTATTGAAATGATTAAAAGTGAATACCACACAACTATCATGACCAAAGAAGAGCTATAAGAAGGTGCCTTCTCCCACTTCTTAACAAAAGTGAGAAACGATGGGCATGTAATGTCACGTAACTTCATGTAATGTCAACATTTTTCAAGGTGTGAGTTCATTTTGCTAAATGTTTTCCCTCTTTTTTTATTCTTTCATAACAAAAGGATGGCTCTCAGGAAAGGGGTCAAGGGAAGAGACACAATGGGAAATGTGGGTGATGTGAAAACAAAAGATGTGGACCGCCATTTGTTAGTTGTGGTGCAACTGGGCAGGGAGGAGCTAAGGCAGATGGTCTCTGAAGGCCTGCCTCCATCACCTGCCTGACTTTGGGCAAGTTCTTGGCCTCAACATTGTTGTCAGTAAAATAGGAGGATTGAACAAGATGGCCTCTGAGCTATCTTCCAGCGTCTCAATTTATGATTCTCAGATTCCTTCCAACGCTAAGATTCTGATATTGAACTGAAATTGCTCTTTCTGTCACTAATCAGTACCAATGACTAATCTTAATTTTAGTTTCCTCAACTGCCAAATGAGGTCAGGCAAGAAGTCCTCAACCTCTATGTTCCTTCAAATACTACAAACTGATAGATCTAAATGTTGGTATATTTGGACAGAACCCAAGACTTTGGCCTCTACTGACTGAGAATGAAAGTCTTAATTGACTTTTCTCTAGTGTGTCAATAGGACACAAGGGAGCCCTTGGGATGGGGGAAAACCTACCAAGATCTGAGCAAGAGAGCAGAAATTAAGAAGTGATGGCGTCAGCTTGGCCAGAGCAGAAAAGCTCAGACTACCTGCCTTGTCTGGCCCCTCCTGAGGCAAGCCCCAGTGGGGATTCTCTGAAAGCTGAAAAGAGGGGAGCCGGTATAGACAAGGAGAAGAGAAAAAAGAGAAAGTGAGATTCATGTGGGCCAGACTGGCATCCCATACCAGTCATACAGAGAAGCCAGACCCTATCCCTCCCTCCATCCATCTATCTATACACACACAAACACACACACACACACACACACATAAAGTCTGAAACACACACCAGTATGCTCCCATGTGCCAGGTGGGAAAACAAGTCTAACATAAGAATTTAAGTACAAATAGATGCTGTGTAACTCAGGAAGGGGATTCCCACCTCAGGGGAACAGAAAATGAAAAAATCTAGATATGAAACTGGATGGGATCTCAGAGGGCATCTAGTCTAAACCATTCATCTTACAGATGAGGAAACTGAGGCCCAGAGAAGTGAATGAGAGAAACATCACTTGATTGTGAAGCTGGAACTCCTCATTCTCCAAACTTGAGCTAGGCAAGGTCTCAGAGGTGTCCTTTACGTGCCCATTGGGGAAGTCAGAAACACAAGATGTGAACCCTGGCTCTGGGAGTTGGGACCTGTGTGACTTTCCCCTGGACTACACTCTATCTCTGATGATTAACACCTTGTGACATTGGGCAAGTCCCTTAACCTCCAGAGGTCTCAGTCTCCTCACCTGTAAAATGAGAGGGTTAGATTTGGTGGTCCTAGAAGTCCCTTCGACATATGGAACCCTAGAACCCAGGTGCCTCCAAGACTCAAGCCTAAGATACTTCTCCAGAAGGAGTTTCATCTGTCAACCTAAATTTCATTTAGTTCTGCCACAGGCACACACTGTGTGTGTGACCCTGGACATGTCACTTAACCTTTCAGTGATCTAGGCAACTCTCTAAAACTAGACAATACAGAAGAATTACTAACCTGCATTGGTAAGGAGAGTTTCCTTCTTTGGTGTACCCTATCCCAATGAAATCACAAGCTTGATCCCTATCTCCATTTTAAATTTCCATTTATAATTATTAGAAAAGACTCATTCACCCAAGAAAGTAGCCTCCCCCAGCTCTTTAGCTCCCTTTCTGTAGATTGTCTTTCCCATTAGAACATATACTCCTTGAGGGCAGGGGCTGTCTTTTATTTCTGTTTGTATCCTCAGCACTTAGCACAAAGCCTGGCACATAGCAGCCCTAAATACATGCTTGTTCTCTGTTTTCTTTCCTTCCCTATGAGCCACTTAGAATCAGAGTAAGGTGCCCAGGCTTCTAATCCCGGCACACTCCTGTCCTTGGGTAACTTGAACAGCTCCAAGACAGGCTCCATCCTCCATCACCACCAAACCCAAAAACAGCCAAGGGGCCATTCTAAAGGGCTTCTAAAGCCCTGGACGGGAGGTGTCCAAATTCTGATGAAGCTGAGCTGACTGCCCTCTGGGCCAAACATTTCTGGGTCACAAGCAAATAAGAAAAAGAAAGGTCAATAGCCTGCAAAACATTGAACTGCAGAGTAACAAGGACAGTAGCTTATCCCTCATTTCTATCTGAGCTCTACTAAACTAGCTGAGAACAAATTAATGATAAGGTTATCATTATGATAATAACCAGCATTTACTGGTTATCACACTCTCAAGTATGGAAGGTGCTTTATAGACATTCTCTCTTCTGAACTTCACAGCAGCCCTGGGAGGTGAGAACAACAACTATCATCCCCATTTTATATATTAGGAAACTGAGGTTAGCTTGCTTCTGGTAACATCACAGATAAATGTGTCTTAGGTAGGATCTGGGCCTAGGCCTCGCTAATTCCAAGATCAGCACTGGCACAAGCTCCCCAAAGTGTCCCCAGCAAATAAAAGAGAGGACTTGGAAACAAAACACAGCTCTCCTTCATGAGTGGTTCCTCAGCGTGCTGAGGTGAACAGCTTGACTGCCGTCAGGACAATGTAGACAAAACGTTCAGTCTCCAGTCCTTCCCCTTGGGCCTCAGACTAGGGAGATGCAGCCAGGTGTGGCATTAAGAGCGCTGGACTTGGAGGCAAGAAGCCTGGGATTGAGTTTGAGCTCCAGCCCTTAACTAGCTATGAGACCATGTGACTCCCTGAATTGAGCCTCAGTTTCCTCATCTATAGAATGGGAAAACAGTGCTTGAATCACCGAGTTACCATGAAGCAAGCACTTTCCAAATCCTAACGTGCTATTAAAGCATAAGGTTGCATCAAGACTTTTGGGACACAGTGTAGATTTCAGTGAATACCATTATGCCAATTATTACTTAGAAAGAGAAAGTCTAAAATTGATCCAGAAGCCAGAGCCATTCTGCCTCAAGTCACTTTCTAAGTGACATGGTCACTTATAATCATAACTCAGCATTTTAGAAGCCCTGTGATATCCATAAGATCATTGGCTCATGGAAAGTTGGGGCTGGGGACCCTCTAGTCCAAACCCTTTGTTTTACAAAAGAGGAAACTTAAGGCCCCAAGAGAGAAAGGGACTTGCAAACCAAAGAATTAATCAAGCATCATGGAGCCAGATTTAGGTTCCCTCCTCCACAGCTTCTCACTCCCACGATGGTCATATGTTATTCCCTCCCATCCTTTGAGGTCCAATGAGACGATGCCATCCTCTAGAACTGCTCTCCTCCCTTCCCCGACTCAGCCTGGCCCTCCCCTTAGCACTTCTCTCACCTTCCCTTTTGTCCTCTCTGGAAGATTTTGGTTCTTTAGGCACTTTCCCTACCTACCCTTTACATAGAAAGTTCTTTACAAGTAAGGCCAGCCATCCAGTCAACAAACATTCATTCAAGAAACCTTTACAGGTCCCTACCGTGCATAATTGCAGGCTTTTTGTTCAGCCCTGGAGGAAATATAAAATTTTGGTTAAAAACACAGCCCCTGCCCTTAGGGAGTTTACAATCTGGTAGAATAAATGAAACACAGATAAAAGTAATTCACAGTATTACTAAAATTGGGGGATTGTGATAGTCTGAATGAGAGGAGTGAAGGGCAGACTGGACTTT